TTTGGGCTTTGCTGAGTTTTTCTTTTCTTTGTTTCCCCTTTCTTTTTCTTCTTCTTCTTTTCTTCGTATTCTTTGCCTCTTTTCTCCTCAGTCCTTTCCTTCTTTTTTCATCTTCTTCCTATGCTTCTACTTTCTCCAGGAACCTCCTTTTTAATTTTCGTAAATATATTTATATTATTATGGTTATTATCGTCATTATTATTATTATTATTATCGTCATCATCATCACGGGAGAATGAGAGGGAGAAAGAGAGAGAGAAAGGGGAAAATGAGAGAGAGAGAGAGAGAGAGAGAGAGAGAGAGAGAGAGAGAGAGAGAGAGAGAGAGAGAGAGAGAGAGAAGGGGAGAATGACAGAGAGAGAGAGGAGAGAGAGAGAGAGAGAGAGAGAGAGAGAGAGAGAGAGAGAGAGAGAGAGAGAGAGAGAGAGAGAGAGAGAGAGAGAGAGAGAGAACGCAGGGTCACGCGTAACAATAGATAATTATCCCGCCAGTGTATTAATGCGTGTGACGTCATGATCGCGAGAGGGGGTGGGGGGGTAGGAGCCAGGGAGGGGGGGAGGGGAGAGGGAGGTACCGCGGGCTGGTCGCTCTGTGTATCTAATACCAAGTGGCTTAATGGATCCGTTAATTAGATTTCATGTTATTAATATCCTCCCTGTGATCGATTATCCTTTTTTTTTTTAATTTTGTCATTAGCATTATTTGTTTGTTTTTTGTTTTGTTTATGAAAGAGGTTTTAGCAATCGCGTTACGAGTCGCTTCCTGACCTTCAGATCGGCGCTTCGTGTTCGTCTTGGTTGCGGGGAGGGGGGTGGGGGAGTTGCACGACAGGGGGGGGGGGGGCTTGGTTGCGTGCGCTTGCTCTGGCTCCTCGTTCTGTCTCCCTCGGCTCTTTGGGTTCTGCTCCTCCTCCTTCCCTCTTCTCTTCTCTTGTCTTCTCTTGTCTTCTCTTCTCTTCTTCCGTTTTATCTTCATTTTCCGTCTTCTCTTCTCGTTTCCTTCCCTTTTCTCTTCTCCTTCCGTCTGTTCTTTTCTTCTAGTTCAATCTTTTTTTTCTTTCCTTTTTTTTCATTTCCCTGTGACCTTCTATTCCTTCTTTGTCCTCGTTATTATCATTCATTACCAATTTCGTACTGTCCAGTCTCTCTCCGCCTATTCTTCCAATATTTTATTATTCTTCTTCCTCCTTCTCATCCTCTTCTTCCTGCTCCTCCTCCTCCTTCTCCTCGTCTTCGTTCTCCTTCATGTCCCCTCGTTCTGTTCTTCCTTTTCCTCCTCCTCCTTTTCCCTTTCCTCTTCGTTCTCCTTCACCTCCCCTTTTTCACTTCCTCCTCCTCCTCATCTCCTCGCTTTCTCCTCCTCCTCCTCCTCCTCCTCCTCCTCCTCCTCATCTCCTCGCCTCCTCCTCTTCCTCCTCCCCCCCCCCTTAGCCCCCTCCTCGCCTCCATCAATAAGGATTAGTTACAAGAGGAATTGAACTGCTCTTCAAAAGTTGTGAATGTCTCTTGTTCCGATTTTCTGCAGTTTCCCCTTCCCTCCTTTTGTGGCTTCTGCTTTCTTTCCCATTTTCTTTTCTTTTTCTTTTTCTTTTTTCTTTTTTTGGGCCTTTTTTTTCTTTTCTTTTCTCTTATCTTTTTTCTTCTTTTTCTTTTTTCTTTTTTTGGGCCTTTTTTTTCTTTTCTTTTCTCTTATCTTTTTTCTTCTTTTTCTCTTTTTCTTTTTTTCTCGTCCATTATCCTTCATCCGACTTTGATTAATCTTCCCATTGGGCGGGGATGAATCGCGCGCTCCTCGACGAAAGAGCGAGAGAGAGAAAGGGAGAGAAAGAAGGTATTAAGCTTGTAAACAAAAGCTTGGCTGAAATCGGGGCAAAGGCAGGCAGGCAGGCCGGGGGGTAGGGGTGGGGGGGTGAGGGAGCAGGGCAGGGCAGAGGTTCAGGTTATTACTGTTGTTATTATAATTTTTGTTATTATTTGGCTATGATTTTTTTATTGTTGTTGTTGTTTATTATCATCATCATCGTCATTATTATTGTTGTTTTCATTATTATGGTCGTTGGTATTGATGTTTTTGTTCTTATTGACGTTATTGTTGTTTTACTGATATTAAGATTCTTGTTATTATTACTATCACTATTATGCCACGCAACATTCCGCTTGCACCCCCAAGCGATGCCACCCCCCTCCCCCCCTCGCCAGACGCCCCTTCGCGAGCTGCCAGCCGGGAGATGAGAGTGCTCCGCGATCACGGGCTGATTATGATGCTAAGTGATAAATGAAGCCGATTCGCGCGGCTGCTGTGTCGAGGCGGCGGTGCACGTGGGGCGTCGGGGCGGTGCGTTCGGGGCGTGCGTTCGGCGGCGTGCACGTGCGGCCCTCGCCTCAGTTCTTTATTCGCCTGCCTGCCTGCTTGTCTGCCGTCGGAGTGCTTGTGGGATTGATCGTTCGTTCGCTCGCTTGCTTGCTTGCTTGCTTGCAGGTGCGGGGGCGTGGTCGAGAGGGCTGTCTGCGGGGGGTCGTTTTTTTTCTGTTTATGCTTCTTTTTTTTCTTTCTTTCTCTTCTTTTCTTGGTTTTCTCTTTTTTTCTTCTACTTCTCCGTATCCTCCTCCTCCTCTTCGTCCTTGTTCCTTACCAGCGTTTGTCTGTATTTCTCCCACCTCTTTTTTCTTTCTTTCTTTCTTTATATCGCACGTCTTTCCCTTCCTCATGATTTATTATAATTCATTGAATCTAGAGGCGCGGGCGGTATGTGAATTTCAAGTGGGCGTGAGTTTATATTGAAGAAAAAAAAAAGAAAAAGAAAAAGATAAAAATATATATATTATAAGGCATAGAAGCTTGGCGTTAACAGGTTGGAATTTCTCCTTTAAGTAAGGCAAAGTGGACGATAGTAAATATTAAACAATGGTGATTGTAATGAAGATGATAATAATGGCAATCCTTCAGGTCTAAGGGAATGAGAGACAAGAATACTGATGATGGTCTTTCTCTGTTTCCATTAGGGCGGAGAAAGCAGGGGAATATTATGAAACATTATCCGTCCCTTGCGTTTTAAAGAGACCAAGGGCAGGAGAAGTCTTGGAGGGGGGGGAGGGGGTATTTGGAACCGGAAATAATGTTATTGTTTTTTAGTTGTTTATTATTTGTTGTTGTTTGAAAGCCTGTGGGGAAGGGGTAGGTGGTTGGAAGGGGGGGGGGAGATGGAGATGGAGAGGGTGAGGCAGAGGGAGAGGGAGAGAAGGACGAGGATGGGGGAAATGGACGGAGAGGGCAGACAAGAGACAGAAACTGAAACCGACAGACAAGACAGAGACGGACGGGGGGGGGGGGGAGAGAGGAAAATGAGAGTGGTAGGTAAGAACCCCCGTGCAAAGTGTCTCTCCCCGAATGAGCAGCCTCTTACCCACCCCCCTCCCCCTCCGCCCTCCCCCTGACTCGTGGCTTTCCTCGCCCTGCCCCCCCCCCCTCCCCTCTCCGGCAGAAACATCCCATAACACGTGAAATAACGCCCTACTTCTCTATCTCCTCTTCTCTCTTTCACTCTGTCTCCTTCTTTTTCTTTTTCCTTTTTCTTCTTCTTTATTTCCCTTCTCTCTTTCACTCTGTCTCCTTCTTCTTCTTCTTTTTCTTCTCCTCCTTTTTCTTCTTCTCTTCTGTTTTTTCTTCTTCTTTCCGAGGAGGGCGAGAGGAGAATCCGGGTAATATCTTTTGCAATGTCGTTAGCGGGAGAGTAATGACTTTGACTCTTGGCTATGGGGGGGGGCGTAGAGGGGGTGAAGAGAGAGGAGGAGGAGAGGGGGGGGGCGGGCGTAGAGGAGCCCAGGAGGAGGGAGGGAGGGATGTGCTTGCCCTGACCTCGCTACTGAGCCCCGTGTCTCGCCTGGGTTTTATTCTTCTACTTCGTCTTGCTGCGTTAATATTCTTTTCTCTCTCTCTCTCTCTCTCTCTCTCTCTCTCTCTCTCTCTCTCTCTTTCTCTTCTCCTTTTCTTTTCTTCCTCCTCCCCCTCCCTTCTCCTTCTCCTTTACCCCTTCCCTCCTCCTCTTCCTCTCCTCCCCATCCCTTCTCTTCCCCCTTCACCTCCCTCCTCCTCCTCCTCCTCCTCCTCCTCCTCCTCCCCCTCTTCCTCCTCTTCCTCTTCCCTTCTCTTCCTACTTCACCCCCTCCCTCCTCCTCCTCCTCCTCCTCCTCCTCCTCCTCCTCCTCCTCCTCCTCCTCCTCCCCCTCTTCCTCCTCTTCCTCTTCCCTTCTCTTCCTACTTCACCCCCTCCCTCCTCCTCCTCTTTCACCCCCTCCCTCCTCCTCCTCTCCCCCCTCCCCCCCAATTAATCCTTCTCTTCCCCCCCCAAACGCCGAGCTGTATCGCGCGTTGTTATATCCCTATTATGTTTGCTTGCGCTCGACCTTGGCTCAAATATTTTCTCTCTTCCTTCTCTTCCTTCTTCTTCTTTTTCGCCTTCTGTTTATTCGTCTTCTTTCTCTTCCTCCTTCTTCTTTTTCTTCTTCTTCTATGTGTTCTTTTTTTTTATTATTCCTTCTTTTCTTCTTTTTCTTCTTTTTTTCCATATTCTTCTTTGTCTTCTTTTTCTCCAACTTTTCCTCCTTTTTTTCTTCTTTTTCTCCTTCTTCTGCTTTGTCTTATTTTTCCTTCTTCTTCGTGGTGGTGCCTCGGGCGTGGGCGTGGGAGTGAATGTGTGTGTGTGTGTGGGGGGGTGGTATGTAGGTATGCGATGTTTCTTTGTTACTTTTTTGTTTTGTTTTTGTTTTGTGAGGGGCTTCGTTTATATATATATATGTGTGTGTGTTTGTTTGTGTGTGTATTTGTGTGCGTGCGTTTGTTTGGCCGTGCGCCGCTTCCGTGTCCTTCTCCGAGGCGCTTCTCGTCCAGTCGCCGTTTGTTCTCGCTGAGGCGGAGCCGCGGCGACGGATGCTGTTGGCGCGGGCGTTGTGGCGGGCGACAGCTGTTGTGAGGGAAGTTGCATCAGGCGACGCTGATTATTGTTAAAGTTGTGATGCAGAGCGATTGTTGCAGAAGTTGGGGCGCGCCACAGGTACTGTCACGGGCACCAGCGCGCCGCAGTTCGCTTTGGAGTTGGATGACACGATAGTTATCAAAAGCAGAATCGGTCTTCCTCGCTGTCTCTCCGATTCCTTGCTGTGCAGGAATTTTAAAAATATAGTGAAAAGATTGATACATCACACTCTCTGTCCCTGTCCCTGCCAACCCTCCCCCCTCCTCTTCATTCCCGCTTCAGTCTGGCCTTCCTTCCTTCCCTACCTACCTACTTCATACCTTTCCTCTCTCCCTCCCTCCCATTTCCTATCCTTCCTCCTTCCCTCCCTCCCTCCTCCCTGCCCTGCCCTCTCGTTCCTTTCACCCCTCTCTCCATCTTTCCTCCCTTCCCTCCCTTTCCTCCTCCCTCCGTCCCCTCTCGCATTCTCCTCCCTTTCCCTCCTCCCTTTCCCTCCTCCCTTTCCTTCCTTCCTTCCTCCCTCGTCCCGTGTCTGGTGCTGCGGCTGAAGTTTCCTCAAATGTCATTCTATTCTTGTAGAGGAGAGGAAGCGAGGGAACTTCAGTGCAAGTCGGGCTGTTGCTGTTTTTTTAATCTCTATTTCCTGTTTCCTTTTCGTTTTTTTTTTTCCTTCTCTTTCTTCGGATAGTTTTGTTATTGCATTTGGGAGGAGGAAGAGGTGGGGGGGGTATAGAATCGGAAGGTCACACTGTGTTATGCAAAGGATCGGGGGATGGGGGGGAAGGGGGGTTGTAATTGTTGTTGTTGTCGTGTCGTTGTTGTTGTTGTTGGGGGAGATTCTATTATCTATTAGTCAGTAATTTAGAAGAAAAAAAAACTAATATTCGAAACTGTTGCTTATAAGACTAAGTATACATTTTTTTTTTTTCACACAATTAATATTTTCCCTTTCTTTCCTTTTTCCCTCCTCGTCCATGCGAGGGCGAATTTCGGCTAGAGCAATTACATATTCTTTTCTCTTCCCCCCCCCCTCCATCGCGGGCGTGGGCGTGAGAACGAGGGGGCTGAGGCCGGCTTCCTCTCTCTCGGGCGATATCCGTGGCAGCGGGAAAAGGAATTGGCGGTTCCTACACTTATCGGGGGGGAGTGGGGGGGAGGGGTGCTGGGACGAACAGCTGCGATGGAATTAAAGAAGAGAGAGGGAGAAGGAGAAGAGTGTTTGGGGGGAGGGAGGGGAGGGAGGGGAGGGGGGAGATGAGGAATAGTGGGAGGTGGAAGAGGAAGATAGGCAGAGAGTAAGAATTGAAGGGAAGGAAAAGATAGGATTGGGAATAAAAGACTGATAGACGATGAGAAGGAAAAAAAAGAGTGGGTGAGAAACGTAGAGTAAGTTATGTATGGACAGAGAGAGAGAGCGAGAGAGAGAGAGAGAGAGAGAGAGAGAGCGGGCGGGAGAGAGAGAGAGAGAGAGAGAGAGAGAGAGAGAGAGAGAGAGAGAGAGAGAGAGAGAGAGAGAGAGAGAGAGAGAAGAGAGAGAGAGAGAGTGCGTGTGAGAGCGAGCGAGAGAGAGAGAGAGAGAGAGGGTGTGTGAGAGAGAGAGAGAGAGAGAGAGAGAGAGAGAGAGAGAGAGAGAGAGAGAGAGAGAGAGAGAGAGAGAGAGAGAGGGTGGAGAGAGAGGGGGAGAGAAGAGAGTAGAGAGAGAGGGCGTGGGAGAGAGAGTGAGAGCGAGAGAGAGAGAGAGAGAGCGAGCGAAGAGAGAGAGAGCGAGTGAGAGAGAGAGAGAGAGCGAGAGAGAGAGAGAGCGAGCGAGAGAGAGAGAGAGAGAGGAGAGAGAGAGAGCGGCGAGAGAGAGAGAGAGGGAGAGAGAGAGAGAGAGGAGAGAGAGAGAGAGCGAGAGAGAGAGAGAGAGAGAGAGAGAGAGAGAGAGAGAGAGAGAGAGAGAGAGAGAGAGAGAGAGGGAGGAGAGGGGAAGGAGCAAGCCTTGCCCCAGAGACCCCGTTCCCTCCGGCTCCTGCCCCGGCGACCCCCCCAAGGCGCGAGGCAGCGGCGGGCGAGATGGGCGCGCGACTCGGGGCCAAAGCGAGGCAGCGGCCGGGGAATGGCGCTGCTCTCAGTCGTGGGCTAATTCGTGGTCGTGAGTTGTTTGTTTTTGTGGGGGGGGTGAGGAGGGGGAAGGGGGGAGGGAATGCTTTGGTGCCTTCGTGTTAGGATCGCGTCGTCGGTGGGTGGTGCTGGAATGCAGTCGGCCGTGGGTGCACGTTGCACGAATTATATTTGCGCTGTATCTTTTATGATGATTGCCTCGTGCAGGCGCTGAGCGCGAGGGGCGTCCGGCATTAGAATGCGGAGCCGCGCGCGCTCTCTCCGCCATCACGCGCCTCGTCACGACCCAGCTGATTCGTAGCCTCGTTCGCGCGCGCAATTTACCTCGCACTTCCTCTGGGACGTTCTGAGTGGGCTTCGCAGGGGGCGCTTGCGTGCGTTTTTTTTTGTGTGTGCGTATAAATGTGTGTGTGTGTGTGTGTGTGTGTGTGTGTGTGTGTGTGTGTGTGTTTGGGTGCGTATATGCGTGTGCGTGAGGGCGCGTGTCCGTCCCTCCTTCCCTCGGCGGAGCGAGTGAGCGAGTGCGAGTCCTCCCCTCTGGCGGCCGGGTTGGGTCTGACCAGCTGGTCGATCAATGCGGCTCCACACCCAGCGCGCTCGCTCGCTCTGCTGCTCCTGCTGCCGCTGCGGCCCTCTGCTGCCACCGCCGCCGCGCCCGCTCTGCCGCCTCCTGCTGGCCCCTGGAGGAGCGGCGCCCTTTGGGAGGGCACTGTGCTGGAGACACGGAGGGTCGCGCGCCCTCTGCGCCGGCCAGAAGGAAGGTCGTGCTTACTTCCTTTTCGGGGGGAGGGTTACAGGCAAGTAAGGGGGGGGGGGGGTATCAGCTGGGCGAGGGGGCGGGGGATCGCGTTCTGATCCGATTGCGGGAGTCGCCGAAGTGAGGGCGGCCTCTGGACCCCGATTCGTGCCTGGTAACTGCACCACGACTGTCCACGGCACGCGAGCGCACACGCCAACCTCCAATGCACATACAGCACGTGTGTGCGTTTGTGTGCGTGTGTGTATGTGTGCGCTTATGTGTTTAAAACCTTTCTGCCGTGTATGTGCTCTGGCCGTGCAAATAGAGCTCGCGCGGTGGCCGTTGCTGCGCGATGGATGGAGCGCTAAAGCACGTGGGAGTTGGTGTGGTAAAAAAGACTCGAGCTTTGAGCTTTTTTACTGCGGTGGTCCAAAGCGGTGAAATACTTCGAGCGGAGGCGAGGAGTCAGGCCGGAGGGGAGGTGAGAGCGGGAAGTGACCTGCGTTTAGTGCAACGGAGAGGAACGACCTCCTCGGAGCGACCTGGACCGCGCGGGAGAAGTGAAACGAGGGGATCGGCCCTTGGAGTTGTGAAGTGACCGGGGCAGCGGCGCTCCAGGGAAGTGACTTCGCAGGCGAGAGGAGGAACTTGTTGATCTGGCGGCGAGGGAGTTTTCGCGGATGACGAGGGGGGGGGGGGGGTCGAGAGACCCGCGCCTCCGAGCCTGCCGCGTGCTGTCGAGGAGGACCTAGCTTGTCGTTCACAGGAGGGCGACGTGGCAACATCATCGTTACGGTGTAGGCGACGCTGGTGTTGCCATGATAATCTGGGCGCAGAAAATTGGGGCGGGAGAGAGAGTGGGCGTTGGGGGCAGTGGGCGGGCGGGTGGGGGCTGGTGTGGCGGGCGGGGCGCCGGGGGCGAGAAGAGGCTTATTGCTTCGTCGTGTGAACTTGCGAGGTGTCATTGGTGCGCGGGATCGCAAGTGCGGGCGGCGCCTCGGCTGTAGCGTTCCCGGGGCAGCGCTTCTTTGTACTTCGGTGCAGGTTTTTGTGGAAGAAGGTGCTGGGGGGGGTGAAAACGGGATGGTTGTTTGACAAAGGAAGAAGTGCTCTGAGGAACAGATCCCAATCCCTTTGTTGCAAAGGAGGGAGGGACGGCGGTGATATTGCATGTCGTGATATTGCATGGGGGGGGAGACGCGGAGGAGGAGGAGGAGGAGGGTAGGAATGCTGTTTATTGTGTGTAAGGGGGAAGGGGGGGAGGCTGTAAATATTAACCGCACAAGTTAATTCCGAGTGCACGCGGGCGTCCGTGTTTACATTCAGCGCGCATGGCGGGGCGCCGAAAGAGCCTCGCCCGGCCCGCGGACGGAATAAGCAACTAATGGCTTCCACAGAATAGGCGAGCCGTTCCTCCGCTCGAGTGCGAAGTGAGGACTGATTGAGAGAGAGAGAAGCGAATCCCATTGCCTCGAGAGACGGCGAGCGAGCGAGGGCCTCGGCCAGGTCACGTGTCGGGGATGTGGGCACGTGGGTGAGCCTCCCCCCCCCCCCACCACCACGCACCTGACGAAGGGGGACTCCTCCAGCCGTAGGGAGGAGAGAGGGTCCCCTTGCAGGACCCCCACCCCCTCTCCTCCCCTCCCCTAGGGGTTGGGCAGGTGCTGGCGACGAGGCCTTCGGTCATGAAACTTGCCTTACCTCGCTGCCTCAT